TAAATATATATACATTTCTTTTTAATTTTCGGGGCCATTACACATGTGGTAATAAGACATATTGTGATCGCGTTGGCTCAGCCACTTGCTTCGAGCTTTTTGAAACCAATAAATCCCCTCATGGATAAGGACACTAAAGAGTTGATCCTTGAGGATGGACTCTAGGTTCCTTAGATAGTTAGACTCCTTATATGGAGAGCCTTTTGTATCCCATGAATTTTACAATTGAAATTAGTTTTAGTATTGTAAATATGTCATAAGATTTTCCTATTCCATTTTTTGGCCTTCTTTATGAAATTGGTGATGGTTGTCCTAATGGTATCATTATTAACCCAAGCTTGATAAAAATATCTTTAAAATTAGACTGATTTTCCTAAGTGACCTCAAACCAAATCGGGTGATCCAGATTACGGATAGGTCTCCTGATTAAGAGTAATCCATATGGGACCATTATCCCAATAACATCTAACAAGGTTGTGGACCTCGCCATAAGAGAATAATTTACATCTAAGGTTGTTAGAATAAGTTTTATCCAAGCAAACTTTAGTAGAACTTTTACTCCGAGTTAAGTAGAGACTTTTGAATCCCTAATAAATGAGCCCATAAGCACCTAACTGAGAATGAAATATTTGGGTTCTCTACACATAAGCAGTAAAGCCTCCAAATTGATCTTTTAAAGTTGTTATATCATTAAAGTCCTTAACTATAACCCACGGTTCTCTAATGTTATATGATAACTCCTTAATGGCATACCACAACACCGTCTGGTGTCTCTCATTAAGACTTAAACATAAATTATTGTGAAAAGCCACTTAGTGTTCCTATGGTTAATCCTACAATGAATAAATCTATAAGAGCGGATGACTTGCAGATGTACGCGGTTTTGCCAAATGACCTAAATCCCTCCCTAAAAGTCAAAAAATTTGCTCTAACAAAGTTTTACTTTCCAAGTTAACTTATGATTTTATTTGCTTTATCACCACAATTCCCTGTTTATGGATATGATAAACTCTTTAGCATGGACCCTGAACAGATTATTTACAGCGCCCACTGCAATTCTATAAAATAATTCTCAGATTTATAATAATAAATATAATAATAATAATCAAATTAACAGTGTATTTAATCATATAAAAAATTTGCATAAGAATAATTTTAACTAATTCAAGTATCGTCATTATAAAATAATGGTGACTATAATCAATCATAAGAAAATAAATTTCTAAAATTTAATCAACAAAAAATAAATAAGAAGTTGGTTAAATTCCTCATGTAGTCTCCCCACAGCAGCACTCAAATGTACTTCAAATTTAAAAGTATCTTAGTATGTGTATATATGCACGTAACATTGTTTTATCCTTAACTTATTTGGATTATTTTAAAAATTAATGATAATTTAAATTATTAATGAAAATAACGATACTAAACTTTTCAATTATTATGAATATGAAAAAGACAATTTAATTAATTTTTAATATATATTCACTATAAAAGAATACTATTCTCAAATTAATTTATTATTCCTTTATGTGCACTATTTATGTAACGGCACCGGAAATTTAAAATGAAATGTATATTAAAAATATCAAATGCGGAAGCGAAGTCAAAAATTCGATTAACATCCCTTACACTAAAACAAAAAACGTGCTCACAAAATATAAAAAATCAAACTACCTAAAGGAAAAACTTGAAAGTAAAAGCTACGAATATGACTATGGAGTCTTTAGGCGTCCCCTTCGTCGTCCTCCTGCGGAACCGACTCGGGAACAATGTCTTCCTGATCTGAAATGATTAAATAAGGAATGAGCTACACTAGCCCAGTAAAGACATCACGATATCTCACCGTCACGGAGGTAAAGGTGGGTAGAAAACACAAAAAGACCAATGGAGCATAATTTACAACAAATTCTTTTATCAATAATAAATCCTTCACCATCCACTTACCTCGGTAAAATTCATAAAACAGTATACGAAAGCAATAACATTATCATCATCATGAAATCATATATAAACTGTATAACATAATACTTATCAAGTCTTTTGTAATTCAATCGTTACACAACATATTTTTCTCATTTACCAGCCTACTAGTATCCATGGGGATCCATAGGGGTCCCGCTACCCGTTAACCCTTAACACTTGAAATCAGATTCCAGGGCCGTCCCCATACCCCGTCCGGTATGGGCGCCAAATCTATAAACCTCATTACTCCGTCCGGTATGAGGGTGAAACGGGCCGTCCCCATACCCCGTCCGGTATAGGCGCCAAAACACATAAGATCTTCATACCCTGTCCGGTATGGGAGACCACAATCCCAGTAGGGTTCCCTACGGACCCGGTCCGTCCACCATCTCCCAGGATATCTAGTCAGGCTGACCCCATTATACAATTACCCATTTACATAATCTTTCATTCTCTTTTTCTTCAGTCAGCATCATTAATCCACATACAAACAAGCAAAACGGTAATTTATGCCAAACAGATAACATACATCATCAATATCCCAGTCATTCAATTCATAATCAATAAAACAGTAAAATATGCACACGAAACTATAAAATGAAAACATCAAACCTCATACTGCATTTTAAACTGTAAAATAGGTCAAATAACAGTTAACCGACAAACACACTAGACTCGGGCTCCATTAGCGACCTTAAGCAATTTCACACATTCGTTGATTCAATAAATACCGTTTTATCATTGTTGAACTTTAATACCGTGATAGGAAATAGGGTGAGGGGTCCTTACTCGTTTCGGGGTCCGAACACGGCTTCACAGTGCGCCTACAGGCTGTCCCTAATTTTTCCTGAATTTTTTCCGGGGAACTGAAACGCACTACTGGTACCTGCACGTGTTCCAAAAAATTGCAAATTAGGCCCAGGGCCCCTTTTTGGCCAATATTGCAATTCCGGCACGGCGGCTCTGTCGTACTCCGGCGACGGCGCCGCCGCAAGCGGCGGCGATTCGCCTCGGTTTGGCCGTTTTCTGCCGAATTTGGCCACACTTGCATCGATCCTTGCGATAAAACAACCCTAGGGCCCTCGGGGGGCCAAAAAATTACAGAAAACCGAAGCTTACCGGCGGCGGTGCTCTCGGGTGCGGTGGCTCTCCAGTGAAGTTCGTGTTTTGGTGATTCGGCTCCGATCAATCTGTAGAGAAAAGAATGGTGATCACGGTGATATAAAAATTGCATCAAACGGAGGTCGGGAAGGGCCTCATCGGAGGCAAAAACCGAGAAGGGGCGCGACGGCACCGCTGGGTTTCGGCTGTGTTTTCCTGCCGTTTCACTGGGATTTTGGCTCCGATTTTGCCACAGGGGAAATCAGCGTGGAAAAACGAGTCGGGGGTATGAAATTTTCCTCGATCGACGGTCAGAAATCTCTCCGGTGCGGCGGCGGGTGGCGGCGACCGGCATCTCCGGCGTCTGGTTCGTCTTCTCCGGCGAGGGCAGGCGGCTAGGGTTTTTGTGGTCAGGTGTGGGGGTTCTATTTATACCCTTTTACCTTTTGATCTCAGCCGTCTATTTTGTTTTAATCTGGGCCGTCCGTTTTTTGATTAAATCTGGGTCGTCCGTGCGATTGCATCTGAGCCGTCCGTACGCACGCTTGATCTGGGCCGTCTGATCGCGCGTACGCGGATTGCCAACGTGGCCCGTCCCCGGTCGACGTGGTTTTGTCACGTGGCAGATCCTGGTTGGCCGGGACTGCTGACTGGGTCTGCAACGTGGCTGCTGACGTGACCCCTCTTTTTTTTCTTTTTTTTTCTTCTTCTTCATATTCCCGGGTGTTACAATTTAAACTTTAATTTAATGTTAATATAAACAATGGAAGTTATTATCCTTCAATTTCTTTTAAATAGTTATTTAAAATTCTAAAAATATGTTTTATAGGGTATTTTGGTTTTTATCTCAACTCGTCAACCAAATTTATTGTCTCTAATAAATATTTTCCATGTTTATTATCGTGTAGTTAAGGGACATAATTTTTTTTTTATCAAATTAAAAATATTTATTTTATATATAACAATACTAATATAATTTAACTTTACTATAAAAATTAATTTATTATAATAAATTTTTTAAATATATTTTACTTGTGAAATTGAAAAAAATTTAGCTTATATGGATTTAATTATAATATGAATGTACTTGGATTTTATGTAAATATAAAAAATAAACTTTTATATGAAAATATCTAATTAATTATACCAATAATAATATATATATATTGATTAAATTTTGTAAATGAGTTATATTTTATAGAAGTAACTCATTATATTTAAATTTATTAAATTTACTTTAAATAAAATTAATTAGTTGTAAAAATAATACTTCATAGGGATATGAAAAGATTTATATAGTTTATAGTGACAAAATATTCATTTATTGTATATTATTCAATTATAATAATCTTAGTCAAGTATAATTTTAATCTTTTAATAGATAAAATTAGTACTGGTATTTTAATAATTTATTTTTTTGTTAATAAATTTAATGAAAGTTATATTAATAGAATTCTAAATGTTAGTTTTTTAAATTTTTTTTAACATTTTATTAAATAATATCAAAATTATTAATGAAGAAAATGTTCAAATTTATTATTGTTAATATATAATTTTGTTTTATTACAAATTATAATTAATATTCTTTTAATATATATATGATAAAAAAATGATAAACAACAACAATAACACAAATATATATTATATTTTTACTAAATTTTTTATTTATCAAAATCTATTTCAGAAATTAAAAAATAAAATTAAACAACTATAATTTAATCTGCTTCTTGTTAATAATATATTTTCAGAAAAAAAAAGAAAAACACACATCTTAATATTAGAAAACTAATTTAATGATATTGTAAAGAATTAATATAATGTAATATTAGGAAATATTTTTTAAGAAATCAATATTAAGATGTAGACAATTTTCAGTATTAACTTATCGGACAATCTTCTCGGGCTTTTGAATTTGCATCAGGCGGGCTGAAGGCGCTCAATTTTCCATCTCCCGCATTTACACTTCTTATTTTTCTGCTGCCCAGCTTCTCCTTCATCTCTTACACCTCAGACATGGAGTCTACTCTACTCTCCAAACTCGAATCCTCCAATCTTCAGAACATCCATTCTCTCTTCTCCGATTACCTTCGCCCATTATCAGATCTCATCAACTCTCAGAAATCCAAGCTCACATCCAAGCGGAAGCAAGAACAAACCTTAGCAATCCGATCACTCGCCAAGCAGTTCCTTCCCTTTCTCAATAAGTCTCTTTCTATCCTCCCTAAACTTCTATCAAATTCTCAACAAAATCAACAAACCCCATTTGAATTGTTTGACACGTACAAATTATGCTTGGATTGCTTGGACGTGGTTTCTTCGCAGTTGTCGTGCAAACCCTACACGGTTCAGATACAGAGGGTAAGGATGATTTATTGTTTGGTGGCGTGGGAAAGGTATGAAGATGCAGGAAGCCAAGGGCTCGGGGTCTTGGAAAGGCTTAGAGGCACTAATTGTGGTTCGAATAAAAGGAGTTCGAAGAAGGTGATATTGCCGAAATTGGAAGCCGGTGATGTGGAATTTGTGAAGGTGGTAGTGGAGGTGGTGGTGGTGATTATTAAGTGTGTTGCAATGGGGCAGGGCAAGGACTGTGGGGAGTATAAGAGGGTGCTTGGGCTGGTAGAGGAGGTCAGACCTTGGTTCCGGTTAGTGCTTATCTATTGTTTCAGTGTTTGTATTTGTATTTACGTGCTTAGTCCTTTGGTTTAAGGGATCGCAATCTGTTAACTAGCGGAGCGAACGTAAGCAACTTAAAAAATAATTCATTCATGGAATTTACGAGAAACTTTCGGTGCATTGTTATAACCGTCGCTAATTGTTTTAGTTGAGTTGTTTTCCTTTTCGGTAATGTAGAAACCAAAGAACCACGGGATATTGCTCACGGTTGAATGATTGTTTTCTTCTATATAGAAAAGCAAAGAAGATAAAAATGAGACAGACTTTACTTGGAACGTAAAATTGGTCAAATCTGTTGTGAGAAGGTGCAGGAATATTCTCGAAATTGAAGTCTCAAGTTTGAAATTCTTGATTTCAGCTGAATCGTCCAACATCCTTGCTAATTGCATTGGTTGAGCTGTGTTTTTCTTCATACCAGAAAGTGAAAGCAGAAAACAGCATATAATTTAAACTTATTTGAGCTATAAGCAGTCATCAAAATCTCAAATTTCTACTGTATTTTTTTTGGCTTGGTATCCAGGAAGTGTGCTGTTTTTTTGGAAGTGCATCAGGTTTACTGTAGTCTCAAAAGCATGCAAATTAGTCTATAGTGATAACTGAAATATTAGTTGCAAAATTTTACATTGGCTAACTGTATTGAAAGTGGACCATATCCATGAGTTTCATTTGGAGTGAGATAACCTGTGGATTTTGAAATTTTCAGGGAATTAGATGCCGATGTGTACGAGAAGTTTCATAGGTTACTTGTCACCTATTTGTCTAAATGTGCCATATTTTTAGTTGGAGGACTAAAGAATTTTGGTGGGGATTTAGTGAGCAAATTTTATGTGGCAACATTGACTGAGTATGAGAATTCATCAATGAAAGACCAAATTTACAAGGTGAATAATATTGACATTCTGTCATATGTAATCTTGCATTGTCGAGTAATTTTCTGATGTCTTTTTTCTGCAGTTTTCCCACCGTATATGTTCCTCTTTGCTTTTACCGGTGGATGGTGGAACCTCACTGGTTGTTGACATGTTAGTTTGTGTGTTGAAGACTCTTGGCGCTAAATGCAAGGTAAAAAAAATGAAGTTAGTCATATATCAGTCCACTTATTTTCACCATATATCTGTATTTGTGCTTATGTATACATTTGATATGGAACATTGTTTTTGTCATATCACATATTATAACTAAGCAGGATTACCTATTAGTTGTCTCTTAGGAATGTTATTACTTGTTCAATATAGAATATACCTTTTTAGGTTTGTAATAGATATTAAGATATTGCAGTCAAGCTTTGACAATTTTGTTTCGCTGGATACAAATTGAAAGACTGATGTCTTCCTGGTCTGTGGTCCTTTCTGTGTGTGGGTATCTGAATGGTTCCATTATTCAACTTGGTTAGCATGAAATTTCCTATAATCTGGTTTATAATATCATGCTTTAACTTCTCTTGATTTAACAGGGCATATTCCTTTGATTTTCATTGTTAAGGCCATTCTAGTTTTAATCAGTAACTTTTCAATTATTTGGTTATCAATTTTATCTCATCCAAGATTAAGCACCACTAATTTGTTATTGCTCAAGCATTTCGGATTAATGTATTCCTGCACTATTGCTTCAGAGTTGCTGCCATATTTTTCTCCCAAAAAGAGATAAAGATTTAAAGAAGAAGAAAGAAAAAGGAATTCAGTGAGATGCAATTTGGAGTTTGGACGTTGGGTCTTGTGACTCTTTGAGCTAACAAATAGCTATTGCTGAGACATCAGATTTTCTATTGGGCCCATAAGATAAGGATGAATAATATGAACATTGACTAGCGGAAAGTCCCAGACTTAGACTGCTCTTTGAACTGGTTGTTCTAATATGATAGAAAATATTTCTGACCGCATAAGAAATAAATTTCCTAAACCAATAACAAGACTTTTTTTTTAAATAAGCTGTGCCCTCAATAACACATAAGGATTATAATTAAATAATTATTACATTATTGAGATATATACATTCTAGAATTTTCCTACTCTGCATCAGTATTCCACTCCCTCCCTTTCCCTCCACCCCCCAAAAAACAAAATGGATATTTTCATTTCTACTTATTTGGGTTGTTTTGAGAGGAATAAGGAACACTATTCAGACATTTGGTGTTTTTATTGGAGTGGAACTCGAGTATCCAACTGATGCTCATTTTCTGCTAATCTTATCTGGATAGGATTGTGTGCTTAGCTTCTTTCTGAACTAAAACACAGTTTTTTTTTTGAGCTGTTTCTCTTTCTACACTGTGAAGGGATTGGGTTGTGATCTTTTCTTACACTTTTGTTTTATTTGTTATTTTTTGTATGTTCTCTCTTTTTTGGATTATAGCTTATACTCTGCCATATCATTCTTTTTCTTCTCAAAAGGAAAAAAAAAACTTATCCTCCCCCAGGTTGCATTTTTTTTTTTCTGTTCTTCAAGTACATTTATTTTTCTATGCATAATGAAAGTTCGAGTCCCCCCAAGGATTGTTCATAGTGTCTCTTCCTGTTTGTTTGTGTGATTTCTCCTCAATTGTTCTATCAACAAATCCTTTTCAGCCTTAAAAATAGTCTATTTCCTCGTTATAAAAAATTCTGTAATGTGGTCCTTTATCATATAACTATCTTCATCTTTGCTATTTTTGTACCTTCCACCTTAGTATCCTCTCGAGCTAACTTTTCTTTTGATAGAAAAAGGAATCATATTAAGAAATAAAGAAAGAAGGTATGAAGAAAGGACCAGAAATCTTATAAGAAGAAAAAAAAAGAAGGTTAAGTAGTTTTTCGAACAAAATAACTAATCAATCTCTATATAAAACAGACAAAAATAAATCTTTAATGTGCCCATGTGCCTGATATCTTGTCCCTAGGGATTATAAATGACGACGACTGGTCCCTGGAATTTCTTTCATCTCTTTCAAGCCTAAGCATCCATATTCTTACATGCTAACAAAAAGCAAAGCCTAAAAATTACTAAACGAAGCACATCGACAAATTAAAGTAATTGTGAATTTCCAAATGTGGACTTGCAGAATCACAAAAAACAAGACCTTGCTATAACTTAGGAGAGGAAGCTACTAATAAAAGAGGACCGTAAAACTCTCTCAATCATGAGATAAATCAAGACCCATGTTGTCAAAATTGAAAGAGCTTATCGAATAGACTTAAACCATGTTTCATTTGGTCATCAATGATGAGTGTAGATGGCATGTGTTTTTAAACATTTGTGACCAACAACATGTGGAATGTTGACAGATGACGCATCGATAGTTAGTTAGCTCAACATTCACCTCTAGACTCAACGAATTGCTTGGTTGACTTATAATATCTTGGCTTGAATATTCATTTGATTAGTCTGTTTGGTTTATTTACTAGAATTAGGTAGGGATGGGTTTTAATGCAGTATGTAAAAGATTTTGGGTGGCCAGACACGACCTCTGGCTTTCTTGGCTGTGCTTGATTGTCCATTTGGGTTTGGCTTGGCTAGGGTTGGGCTAGTTTTTTTATAAGGTAATATGTTTCATCGTTGTTATGTGTTTTAGGAGGGAAAAATCACATGGATACTTATTCCTTCACTATGATTTGGCTTAAAAACATTGTCCCACATTATTTGGTATTTTGTTGGTGTGGGTTGTTTTTGATTTCTCTTCAATGTTTTTTGATTCATCTCTTAGAGGGACATAGTGGAGGAAGAAGCTAGAATATCTCACGGAAAGGAGCCCGCTTTGCTAGCTTGTGGGTTTTGTGGTTGGAGCCTAATTATAGAATTTTGGGGACTGCTACTTCCCTTCCTAGTTTCTTTGGACAAAATGATTTTCTTGGCTTCTATGTGGAATAAGGCTACATGGGTGTTTTAGTGATACATCTTTATCATTGTAATAGAGAAATTAGGGGCCTATATTTTTAGTAAGCTTTACGAGGATTTTTTCTCCTCCGCTTTTTTAATAATCTTTATTCTTTTGTAATAAAACTAATGATAATTTACTATTTTTTACCAAGTTAGGCATGTTGAGTGTGAAAAGCTTGGCTTAACTTGGCCACCTCTCAGTTGGTTTGGCCCATGCCCATTAATCACTCTCTTGGTGACTTTGGATTTGGGAGGATGAGGGGAAAAAGTTTTAGGCAAGTGCAAACTTAAGTTGCTCTCTCCAAAGGCTTTGGCACCGGGAGATCTTTTTTCAAACGAGATTTTGCATTTCCTTTTCATTAAGGACATTTTAGGAAGAAATGATATTTATTTTAGAATTTATTTATAAACCACATTTAGTATAAGAATCTCATCCAAAATGATAAAAAATGATAAAAAGGAATTTCAAGTGGAATTGAAAAATATACATCCTAGTTACCGTCAATTTGACAGAATTTGAGATGAATTATTTTAATATCACTTCAGATTTTCTATGAGGTGTATTTTTACAATTTTCTAATAAAATTATCATCTTTTAGATGATTTTGGGCGCTCATCAGATAGAAAGTTGGTTCGAAGAATAGAGCCAAATTTTGGAAGGATCAATGGATAGAAGAAAGTCTTCTCAAAGACCAATATTCTTAGATCTTTGTTATAGCTCAACAGAAGATGCAAAGATATGTGATCCATTCATGGACCAAAAAAGGGGGTGAGAGGGTTTGGCAAGTTCTGGTGTTAGAAAATTTGAATTATTGGGAGATTGAGGAGTATGGACAGTTGTTGAACACACTTTTCCTTGCGTCGATGGATGGTAACAATGATAGTCCCCAATGGAGTCTTACGATGAAATGAGTCTGTCATGGTCAAAATACGTCTATAAGTCGCAGTTTTAAACATGGTGGTAATAGGATGAGATTCTCGGGACAGACAAATTTGGGAAGACAAGTAGCTTATTTCATAGTCGAAGGGTGGGAGGTAAGCAAAGAATG